TTCTTCGTCGCAAAGAGCAAAAAAATGACATCACTCGGGCCAAGACAATAGTCTATTTTATTAAATTCGAAACATATGAATAGGACAGCCGTCTAAACTTATTTTTTTGTTATTTTTTCGTAGAGAAATTACTCTCAGGCCATTTCAGTGCACGGAACTCAACCTTCTACATTCGACCACATAAAATAATTGTTGTTATTATTATATATACAATGTTATTACAGGAGAGACCATTGATTGATTGATCAATTAAAATCGTGAATTTAAAAATAAAACATTTAATGTGGGTTTGATTCATTTTGTCAACAATCACTTCACGAACAATTGTTTCATTAATAACTGGCTCGAATTTAAGAAGTTGGAGGCAACCATGCGACAAAACTTTTGAAATCGTCTAATAAATTAAATCTTACTACTCGAAAATGTATTTAAAGGGTTGGTTTTCCACTTAGTTGAAGAATAACTCTCTTCCCAACTCTTCTCTTGACCATATCTCTCGATATAACCAAAATAATCTTAATATAACGAATGTCAAAATGATTGTAAATGTGACCAATTTAAGATATACAATCAAGAGGAAACATGAACGATTGGGGCACGACTTGCGAGTTTTGGAAGGAGATCGTGACACGGCAAATGTTAAATCTTTTTTTTGTGTTAATTCGCATTTTCAAAAGAAATGATAAATAATACCATTTTTGACCAAGCGAATAAATTTTTTGGGAACTAACAAACTAATTAACTGGCAATTAAATAATTCTATATTAATAATCCTAACAGTAGAGACAGAATAGAATTAAATTTTTTGTTTAATAAAACATTTTTGTGGTCGGAAATTAAATAGTAAGATTCAATAAAAAATAAAGTAAATTTTCTTAGATTATTATATACATATCTATTTTTTTAAAAAAAAATCGTACTAAATTAATATATAGTATGTTTTCGGTTGAGGTTTTGACTTTTGGTTTTTGAACCGAAAGTGTTTCGATAGCTTGACATAGTTTCGACGGACATCCATAACTGTGAAGGTAAGTGGAAATCCTACTAGACATGGGTGAAATCCTAGGTGGAAGTCTTACAAAAAGTGCAAGAAGATGGAGAAATTTGAAATTTCATTTCTCTCATGACTACAAATGATATGCAGATGTATGTAGACTTGAAAATATATATATATTTGTTTTGCTCAAAGGATTTGTATTTTCGCCGTTTGCAATATAAGAACAAGAGGCAAGCAAAAAACCAAGACTTACATAGAAGCGAGCATAAAAACCAAAACCAAAAGTCTTATGGGAAAGTAAGCATTAAAAAAAAAAATAAATATAAATAAATATTATCAGACAACATATGAGATTACAATCTTGCAGTATATAGAATTACTTTTATAAAAAAATAATTAATATGAAACTCGTTTACATCAAATCTAACAATGGAGCCCAAGATTTACAGCACTAATAGAAGTATTTTGAAAAGGGAATACAGTGAGCTGAGAAAATTGCTCCCTATATTTTCAAAATAAATGATACTTGAATACTAGAAGCTTATCTAAGGAAGAGAAAATCACCCATGAAATTTACCAAGAAGAAAGAAAAAAATAAACATTAAGGAAGCAGAATGAATGTGTGTTATTACCCAACAAAAAACAGAAATCTTTAGAAGAAGGAAAATAAAATGCAATGAAACTTATTTATCTACCTGTTTTTTTCTTTTTAGTTCTTTTAGCAACATAAATCATAATTGCTTTTTATTAGATTAAGGATAATTTTTTAAATAAAATTTAAATCATTTATTTTTTTATGCATCTTTTAAATTAAACAGATTACCAACCTAATCAATCATAATTGGTGTTACAGTCAGACTCCTATATAGTCACGTCCAATATAGTCACAACTCCTATATAGTCACATATTTTTTTATTCCCGATTTTTTTTATATTAAAATTAATCATATATAGCCACTTTCATATTGTAATCACTATCACCAATATTTGACAGTTCCATAACATATTACAACATATATAAATTTCATCATATATAATCACCAATTCATGTGGCTGTTAAGGATGTCGGCTGCAACTTTTGATGATGGTTGCTACCATCTTTGCGTCATATAAAAATGATTGCAATCACCTTTACGACCATTTTGTTTCCTTTTTTGGATTGCGACATGGAACACTAGTAGCTGTGTAAATATTATTGGCTAATTGAAATTTTTGAATTTTTTAAAATGATATAATTTTTTTTTTAGTACTATAAGCACCGTAATGATTTGTTTTAGTTAATTCTGCCAGTTTTCTTTTTTTTCTTGATTCTTTACTAGAATTCTCCAATACTCTTTTGAAAACTCTTTCCTCTTGATAAATTTCATAGGTAATCCTTTCTTTCTTTAGATAAGTTTCCAGTGTTTGAGTGTCATTTATCTTGAAAATGTAAGGAGCAATTTTCTCACCTTGTTCCTTCTTCAAAATACTTCTGATAGTACTATAATTCTTGGGTTCCATGGTAATACAATTGTGATGTTAAACCTGAAAATTTTGGTAACACCAATGTTCACTTTGTTGCAGTATTCCCGATATTATTATTATGGATCTGCAAATGGTCTCATGTATAATTACCACAAATATATGTCATATTACATACATTATGATAAATAATCGAAAATAGCTTTCCCACATCACTTTTCTCAAATTAAATTTTATAAAAAATGGAAAATATTTTTATTGACGAGAAGAAAGGACAAGAAAGTGAAAAAATTTGTTATAAAGAAGAACCGGTTAACAAAAGTAATGATAGTGATAATAATAGCATACTACAAAGTTCAACAAATCAAGTACCTCAAAAAAAGCCAAATTCAGAATATCAAGGGATCAATGAAAATGACGAATGTAAAGCAAAGAGAGAATATAATAATAGTGGTGGTGCCGTTGTTCACGATGTTCATGATGAAAAATGTGATAAATTTGATGGTATGTAGATTTTTTTTTTTACTAATGATTATGATTATTATCAAGTAATAATTTATTTATTTAAATTTGTTTTAGAGGAATCAGCTAAAAGAAAAGAAGAAATCAACAAGACCACACCTGGATGGTGTAAATAATATAATTTTGAAATCAAATCTAATTGGCCAATTATGATTAATTTATAATTAATTAATTGATAATCAGTCAGTAATGAAATCATAAAAGTTTTTTTTGGTGGACTCTTTAAAAATTAAATCCATTATGATAATTAAAGAAAATATTCTTTCAATATTATATTATTTAAAAATTAAAGATAAAATAATAATAAAATTAATAAATAGGAAAAACATTACATTTATTAGCAGTAGTAATAATAATAACAAATTATTTTACAATAAAAGTACTTATTACATTACATATTAATATATAACAGTAATATAAATTTAAATTTGTTGATTGATTTTGTTAATAACAATTAAAAATAAAATAATAATTTATTTTTATTTTCCTCGCTTTAATATAGAATTAATAAAATGTAATATTCATTTTTTTCACCATAATAATTATAATAAGGTGCCCAAGAGATTTTTTCATTTTTCAGGTAAAACATTAATCAATTAATTGACGATACCATTAATAATTAATAATCTACTTTCCCCTTCTTAGTATCCATTAATAAAAATAAAGATTATTATGAAATTCTTGGATTACAAAAAAATGCATCACAATCAGATATTAAAAAAGCTTATTATTCGGTATGTTTCTATACATATATAATATACGTATATAAACAATTTATAATGTTTATTTATTCGTTAGCTTGCAAAACAATACCATCCGGATACAAACAAAGATGTAGTAGCAAAAGAAAAATTTATACAAATTCAAGAAGCTTATAATGTAAATAATCAATCAATCAATCAATAAAACAAAATATTCTATAAAAATAATCATATTATTTATTTATTTTAGGTGTTGAGTGATGAAGAGAAAAGATCACGGTACAATAAATGGGAAACAACAGGTAAATAAATAAATAAATAAATAAATAAATAAATAAATTAATTCATTATTGATTTTCTATATATATCAATAACAATGATCAATAACGGTACAGATGAATTTGCAGATGAAGCAAATTATGGTGGATTTACTGGATTCAATGAAGATTTTATAAATAATATATTTAAAAATTTTGCCGGTTCAAAAGTTCAAACAGAATTTAATCAACCTTATGCAATGGGATCCGATGTCGAAGTAACTTTTATGAAGTTTCATAAATATTATTTATTATAATCTTCATATTTAAAGTAATAATAATTTATTATCTTTGTTATTATTAGTTTTCTTTAACTATATCCTTTATAGATTCGGTTAAAGGTGCTAAGAAGACTGTGACGGTAGAAACATTGGCAAACTGTAAATCGTGTAATGGAATTGGTACCAGAACAGGCAAAGAACCAGATAATTGCAAAGTGTGTAATGGATCAGGTGTACAATACGTTTCCTTAACAACAGGATTTCATATGCAAACTATATGTCGTGCCTGTAATGGTAAAGGAACAAAAATAACACCTTTAAATAGATGTGTAGCATGTATTGGTAAAGGTCAAGTAAAAGAGAAAAGAGCTGTAGTAGTTCAAATTCCCGCAGGTAAATTAATTATGATTGAATGGGGATATAAATATAAATATTTTCTATTCAATCTTCATTATTTTCATTATATGTATATATATATATATATATATTTGCAGGCATTGAGAGTGGCACAATAATTAGAATGATTAGACAAGGGGATGTACCATCTGGTGGGATAGGAATCCCCGGAGATTTATATATAAGATTAAATGTCACGCCACATAGTATATTTAAAAGAGAAGGCGAAAAAAATATTATTATGAATAAGGAAATACCATTTCATCTAGCAATTTTAGGTGGTGATATTCAAGTACCCACGATTGATGGCGATGATGTTGAATTAAAAGTTCCTGAAGGTTCACAACCTGATCAACGTATTGTACTGAACAAACGTGGTATAAAAATTGGTAAATCTCAAGGTGATCAATACGTTATATTAAAAACTAGATTACCAAAGTAAGTATTATTATCAGTAGTATTAATAATAATAATGGCTATGTGATAGAAAGATATACCGATTTGTTTATGTATATGCCTTATTTCTTAATTTAATTTAATTTAGACATTTAACATCACAACAAAAAGAATTGATTGAAAAATATGAAGAAATTAGTGAACGAAGCACAAAGAAAAAATCTGGTAATTTTTTAAAAAATCTATTTAATATATTCAAAGATAAAAAATAATAATAGTGATAGTAGTGATATTGATAGATAGCAATAGCGATCATGTTAATAGGATATATTATATTATTTATATTATAATTATTATTTAATTGTAGGATAAATTTCAAAAAAAAAAAAAATCAGAGATCAGAGAAATTAAATAGATTAATATAAAAATAGAACTTTTAATAGTTTTTGAGAGTCTTTAGTATTTATAAATAATTTAAATATATTAACTAATAATTAATAATGAAAAATTGATTTTCCAATACATAATCAATTGTTGGTCTATTATCAAACATGAAATCAAGCATTTTAATAATCAAGATATTTATAATGTCATTATCTATTTCATTGGCAATTTTCTCTTTAATTGTGTTCAACTCAACAAATAAAAGAATATTTGTTGTTGTTGTGTAAAATAAATGCTTTGTAACAAGATAGTAGAGTAAACAACCTAATGAATAAATATCAATAGCATAATGTGATATCGAACCAGAATTTAAATTTAACACTAATTCAGGTGCACTAAATCCTAAAGCAAATGGTAAATTATTATTGTTATTATCATTATGTTGATGTTGATGTTGATGTTGATGATTGTTATTGGCTGTTGCGGATGATGATTTTGTAGTTAATAATGAAGAGATTGTTGGAATGTCTATGATGAGAGATCCAACTGTACAAGAATATTTAAAATCTGACAGCTTAATCTTCCAGGGTTTATTATTATCCTTGCAAAAAATATTTGAAGGATTTAGATTCATGTGCTGAAAATAAATAAATTAATTATTAGATGAATTAATTAATTGAATAATTATAATAATAATTGGAAGAATGTACTTACAACAATTCCATTATTATGCAAGAATTGAACACCTTTACAAATATTCAAGAACAATTCTCTGATAAGTTTTAAAGAATTAAATTTGTCGAGGCTAAGATCTAAACTTTTGCCAAAGTATTCCATAACAATAATATGTTCCTTACTAATACTACTACTATCATCATTATCATTGTTAGTTGTTAACGTGTCTTGAAATTTTAGAATATATCTAAAGGAACTTTTTAGTTGTTTAATTATTTTCATTTCATTTTCCCAAAGAAACTCATTTGAAAATGTTTTAATTATAACAATATCATCATTTCTAATATTTTTGCCAGTATAAATCTTATATCCCTCTTTGTCATTGTTGTTGTTGTTGTAATTATTTAGTAATAGATTTTGTATAACATAATTATCTGAAAATATCCTTTGATTATTATCATCATCATTATTATTAAAAACAAAATTATTTTTACCATTAATGTTTTGTGTATTCGAAATCTTTTGTTGAGTTTGCAGTGACGTTGGTCTACTATCAAATGATATCAATGATTGTATTTCCGGTGAATTGTCAATGAGATTCTTATCGGAGGAAAAGGAGTAGGAGGAGTAGGATGAAGAAGAAAAAGAAAAGGCTGTTGACTTTCTTGAAGGTATTAGCCGAGAAATTTTATTATTAGCATTAGTATTTGATTGTAGGAAAGATGATGTTGTTGAAGCTTTAGAATGTTTGTCAGATGATGTTTTGAATTGATTGTTATTTTTTTTCGCTAATGGTGGAGATATTGGAATTGTACCAGATGGTAATAACTGAGTTAATTTGATGATTTTGTGAAAAGATAACCTAAATCCTATTTTAGAAGATATTCCTTTGTTATCATGAATGGAAACTGGTCCAACTGATATATTGATTATTTTTAAAAGTTAATAAGTATATATTAATTGAGTAAAGAAGTAAAAAAGTAAGGATTTTGTAGAAACTTTAGAAATATTTACTTTTTGTGGATCCTGTTAGTAACAAATCATCCCAAAATTTTTTCTCAAGTTCGCTGGAATAAGAATTAATCTTTAAATTAAAATATGGAAATCTATGACTTGACGATAGATGCTGTGTTATTATTAAAGTATTAGAGCTGCGTTTTATTAGAAATGAAATTGGATATTTCCATCCAGTTTGTTTTACTGTTTTATAATGATAATTGGTTGAATGAATTTCATCACCCAATTTCATCTCTAAATGACCAGGAACTCTGCTCAAATTTTCACTGTGAATTATGATTATGGTTATGATTATGGTTATGGTTACGATGATGAAGATGATTATTATGATTATGATTAATATATCTTTCTTTATATCAAATAAATATACTATATATGTAATACGTACAGACTTATTTCTTTTATTAGCATCATACCAATCATATCTTTTTTAAGTTTTATATTATTTAATATTTCTGATGAAGCTTTTGGATTTTCCTGATTAAGATGGGGAAAAAAAGATGAGAAGATTAGTTTTTTCTAGGAAAAGATAATAAATAAAAAATAAAAACAAACTTACATTTAATATATAGTAAATTTCAAAAACAATTTCGAAATTACGATCTTTTGATCTCAATTTTACTATATATGATAAAATAAAAGCCATAAATATTATATATTTAATTCTTGAAGCTAAAACAAAGACAAATCTAGCAATTATACCTTTATTTTCATGAGGGTCAAGGTTAATTAGATCTACTTTTATTTCAGCCAAGATTCCATCTCTTCTTTTAGCTCTATTATCCCAACATCTAACAATTAATTCTGTGTCTTTAGGAATCTTTTTTGGTTTAGATAATTTTAATAAAATATTCTCACTCCAATAAGCTTTTTTAAAGATTTTATCTGAATCTAATAAACTGGTTGATGGATAGTTTATTAATCAATTGATCAATTGCCTGATTTATTTATAAATTTCTTAAATATAGCAAAAAAAAATTTAAAATATTTACATTTTGTATGGAGGTGTGTAATTGTTTTCATTATTGTATTCAAATTCCAATTGTAATTTAAGTTCTTCATTAATATTGAATGCATTTTTAAATATTTCACTGATTTTTGTATGGTTCTTTTCTTTATTATAATTATAATTATAATTATTTAATGTACTTTTTGAATTTGAATAATTTTTTAAGAAGTAATTTAATAAGTAAAATAAAAATAAAAATAAAAAATAATTAAAAAAGACGATTGAATTTACCATTCAATTTTCTTTATTAAAATAAATCCAACATATTTGTTATTATTAATCTCTTTGATATTGTCACTAATCGATGGATACATTTTGTAATTTTAACGGAAAATAATTAAATAAAATTCTACATTTTTTATACATTTTTTCTCTAAATCAAATTTCTGAATTAAGGAATATTAATTATTATCAGACATTCATCCAGTTAATAAAAAGAATTTCGATCCCGTGTAACCAAAATTACTTGATAATAATAGTAATAGTAGATGAGAAGTAAATAAAGTCGAAATCAGAAATTTCTCTCTCGAACAAATAATTCGTGGAACGTATTAGTATACGAAGCAGCAAAACAATAGAAAAAGGTGTCACGAAAATATGATAATAATTTTCAACTTTTTATTTAATCTGAACTTTTTGAAAATCGCTGTGTTTCAAAAAAGGAAATTTTCTACAGACCTTTTTTCAATAGGAAATAAGCAATGAGCAATAAACAATAATTTAATTGCTTATTAACTGAATGTTTAGAATAAAACCAAAGGTGAAGAATTGTAATAAGCACTTTTCGTGATTTTTAAACTATTGACATCAAAATTAACTTTCCTTGGGAAACAAGAGAAAACTAATGTTTATTTAGATAATAACGAACACTTTTTTTTCTAAAATTATTCAGTCCGTCAATAAAAGAAAAATTTTTTCAATCCATTTTAAAAACAATATTATACAAACATTTTTGGTAATATTTTTAACAAACAAAAAAATACTTTTAACATTAAATTATATATTTATTATTATATAATTAATAAAAGTATACTCCAAAGCAACAAAGTCGCCTAGTAAATAATAACTACCGGCTATATTAAAAAAAAGAGAGAGGTCGAGATTTCTCACTGCTAATCCTTTCTTGTAATACTCCATAAATTTTGCATTCGATGTTATAGAATCAAAGGCCCGGGAACCTTCTCCTAAAGGCCTTTCATGTGTAATTACAATGTTGCCTAACATACCATTTAGCAGCCTCTCGGTTCATCTAAATGTAGTTAAGCCCACAATGAAGTTTTGGATAGAAGTTGACCTTATGACTCTTTGCTTCAATTAATTCTTGAAGTAAAAGGATTTGTGTTTAAATCCATCTCGAGTTGCTAAGATATGTTTAGCATAACAAGTCAAAGGTTCTTCAAAAGAAACTTATAAGAAGAGAATAATAATGAAGGATGGTTATTTTATATTAGCAGCTGCAAACTTGTTCGTGATTTTAATATTTGATGTAAATGAAATACAGATAGATTAATTTTACGCGAATCGCGTAGTCACGTGACAGGCCTCTGTTTTAACGAAAAGATTGACAATATTTTGGTAATATTTAGAAAGAATTGGCAACGATACTATCTCTCTCTGGAAATTTTCAAAAGAAAAGGAAATTTTTCACAAAATTGATTGCGTTGTATAAATCTTTTGATCATTGATCATGATTATGATTATGATCACTCTCCCGATTTTTTTTTAAAATGTTCAGAGGTTGTACACAGTGTATCTCGGTTTAGCGGATAAGTTCGTTCCAAAAAAATTATCCGCTAAATCGAGATATCCGCAAAACCGAGATATGATGAAACAA